AGGAGGTTCGACAACAGTGGAGTCTAGTATGATTGGTTCAGCTCGCCTTTTGCCAATATAATAAGCGCTGATCACGGACACACCAAGAACTACAAATAAGCCCACTGACACTAAAGTTATGGTAAAAATATTCCAAAACCCGTCCCCTGATTCGTTATTCAATGGAGCGTCTTCATTTGTTATTGTGTCCGCCATTTTGTTATTCTGAGACTGATATTGTTGTTATTTATTCATTATGCGATGCTCTTTTGTTTTTCTGCAACTGCTAAAGTTGCGTCGTCCTTCCTTCCTTGAGTAAAACCTAAAACACACAAAAATACATCAGTTTTAGAGTTGTAATTCTAAAAAGATTAATCTAGCGGAATGACGTTTATTGTAACTGATAATAAATAACGTAAATTAATTTTTGGTAGCCATTTGTTTTTATTAAAATAATTTGTTTTGATAAAATAATTATTTATTTAAACCTAATCATGATTAATGGGTTCCCATCATAAAAAGCCCATGTCTGTTATTACATACTATAGCATCTAACTTTTTACATTGACAAGGCATATTCAACAAAAACTGTACAAGCTTATCATATTAAATCTAATAGGTAATCACCTATTGGCAATAAAGACCTACTAAAAGATTTTCTTCAAGCAGAAGGTGACATAAAAGTAAGTATGTAGATAATTAATGAATCAGAAAGTTGTACACCTTATGTAAACTGACGTCATCATTCAAGATGGTTCTGATAAGATTCTGATAACACGAGAACTTTGAAATTAAAGGAACAAAGCACATGTACGGCTGCACATCAGACTATAATTTTTTGTTGGAAAATAGCCCGTATTACAACGAAATAAGATGACACAGTGTTAAGCTTGGTGTGTCGTCTGTACATACGACGACACGTCAAGGTACACTGTGATACTACACTGTGGTAATAATGTGATATTTTGCGACAAAAATCATTAGTTTAAAGCAGTGTTTTTCAACCTGTGGGTCGCCTCTATAGGGGGGTCGCGAGAGGTCGTAAAAACTACCTCAGTAAAAAAAACAGTAAAGTTTTTTAAAGCTAGATTTATCCGAAATCTAATTATGCAAATGCAATGTTGTATAGATTGAAGAATTCGGTCCCTGCAACATCTTCGTAAAAGCATGAAAAAAAAGTGAACGGTCGGGGGGTCGCAAAAATTTTTTTCATGCTAGGGGGGTCGCGTCATGAAAAAGGTTGAAAAACACTGGTTTAAAGTATTGTTGACTGTATAGAGGTTTCAAAGCTATTGGATTTCGTGTTTCATTTCAAACTTAGTCAGTGGCAATTTACTCTAAACCATGTTTTTCTTAAAAGACATGTGGATTTCATACCCATTTCATAGGAAATCACTAATATTATGTTACAATTACGTGCAAAAGTTCAAATGTCCTTTCTATCTAAATCGAAAGTCTAAGGCTGAGTTGCACCACCTTTTTAACCGAAACAATAACAATAACCGGTGCTTTTTGTATGGAGTTTGACAGACTTTTGACGTTTGACAAAGTTAAAGTAAGATGTTGCTACTCAGCCTAAATGATGCAGTTTACACACCAAACCCGCCGATCCACGATATGAGCAGTCGACTCTTGACAAGTTGTCAAAAGAAATAAAGTTGCCGATGTCTACCAAGCCACCGGGATGTCGATGGGCTTGGTAGAGTCCTTAGGTAGGTAGGTAAATGTACTCGTATAGTTAGGTGCTTACCAAGAAGGGGTTTCCAATCAATCCAAATAAGTTTTCACAGCTTCAGTGGCGTTTGCCAATCACAACTTCTAATGTCACTTTCAAATTATAATCATTACAGAAATCACGTATTGCTAGAGTTCTGGAAATTATATCTTTTGCGTCACAATGTTATCAGTCAGTTATAAAAAATACCACGAAATTAATAATCTGGATCGCTGTTCAGCATTCAAAATTTCCACTTTTCTCTAATAATCCGTGTAATTTACAACGAAACTGCCGAAAAAACACGATTTTTCTTTACATAAAACAAACGACGATCCAAAATGGCCGTCCTTACATTACATTTCGTTGCCGTAGACTTGATAAAGTACTAAATTGAAGCTAATCGCGATTTTTATCTTTCTAATCTTTAATATCTGTACAGTAATATCGAAGAGCAATAAATTAATGAGTGCATGGTTGTTTGATGAAACCACGAAAATACAGAAACGCATAAAATGTGTTGTAAGTAATAAATAAAAAAACTAGTAGGTAGACAGTTTTTATTGATTATTGCATTCTATAATTGAGGAATAATAAAATATATTATTCTCTACTTAAATGTCGACTGATGCCTGTTACGTGCTACGAGTTACATAGTAGTACTTAGGTATTTTCTAGACTCTACATAGAAATAAATTCAACCTTATGGCTGGCGATTCCGATATTGATTTATTCAATTCCAGCATGTTAAACGAAATCTCTTCAAAGACTGGTTTGATGTGCATTCTTGAAAGGTGCTTTTTTGTATTAAACTTTAATTTAATTAGTAGTAGGTAACTTTGGCTTGGTAACTTCTTTTCTATTTTTGTTTATTGATAAACAAGCATTACTCAGGCTCTAAATGTGAAAACATGTCTAAAATGTTAGTCTACATAGATTTTACACTGTATTGTTTTCCTTGTAAAATAAAAAAATAAAAATTGATATACTCGTACCATGGGTGGTGCTGTAGTCTAGTTAATTTTAGGGGTCAAATCCCGTAGAAAACAAATTCTAGTATTATGACTCATTTCATGAATCATGTCGTGCTCTTCTGGATGTAAGCCCCGAAAATGACATAAAAAATGTTTTTCCTCTTAATAAAATTCATACGAAGTCATACCTAAGCTGTTTTCAGTTTTGGCAGGCCTGGCTCACTCCGCGCGGTACATCCGATAATTACCTACAGCGAAGCGCCCCGCCGGCGGGGATTATATCAGTCGAGTGTCACGCGCGCGCCCGTCAGGACGCTGGCGTGCGTTGTAGTACCTAATTCTATGATCGAAGTATTATTACAAAATGGACATAAAGAGAAAGAAATATTATTGTGTGGCGTTCGGGTGTTTAAATTCGAAAAGAAATCTACCGGATTTATCTCTTTTTTCGCTTCCCAAAGATGCTGAAAGGTATGTTGGCCATGTAGGTAATCAATAATTCTTAGGATAGTATAGGAATCTAACCTACCATGACTACTGCTCAGAATGCGTTCGTTCGTTTCAGCAAATTAATGACGTCCACTGCTGGACAAAGGCCTCTCCCAAGGTTTTCCATAATGAATGCGTACTTACCTACATACGTACCTCATTACAAATAAGTATATTAATTATTTTTTTACTAGACACTACTAGACAGCAACCCTAACAGCGTAAGAAGAGTTCAGAGGCACGCGATAGAAAGAGACAAAACTTGTGGGTGAATAAAATTGTAGGTACGTAGTGCTGTGCGAGCTGAATTCCACTGTATCACGTCGTAGCAAGACTCGCATTTATTTAAATCGTCTTGCGGAGTAATCCTTCTGTACCTGTACTATTACTTATTCTGTGGTTTTGGCAGGTAATTTATGTACAGTCGACAGCACATCAAGCTATACATTTTCGTTGCAAAGTCGCCCCTATCGCAACTACGTAAGATACCACAGTGTTTACGTTGACGTGCTGTCGACTGTACAAATTCTCTATTAGTAAGGTAGGCCCTTTTCAAAGTACTTTATAGGTACCTACGTCCAATCAAGTATTAGCTTATGATTGTTCTCTTGACTCTACACTAAAATATTGACCTCTTTCTCAAAATTTGACCTATCTAGATGAATTATTTGTTTGGTTGATAAGAATTTATCAACAATCTCGAGAATCGAGCTCCCAACCATCTCATAAAGGTAGCAAACAGGAAGGCGATCGCAGGCCACATCAACCGGTCAGTATGGAAATCATAAGGGGAGACCTATGTTGATGATAGCTCAATACTCAATACGTTTATTGCTTCCACAATAGTATAGGTGTTACAATGTGATAATGCAGTTAATTATGGACCCTGTTGGGCGCTGCAATTAAAAATATAAAATATATACGTAATACGTATGTATAAATTCTAGCCTTTTGATTGAACTATTTAAATTCGCTCACTTTCTTAGATGATTGTCTTTGTATCTAACGGAAATCATTATGCATTTTTATTTGTCTAGCGGCCGTGGTATGCGTGGATCCCATCAGTAATTTCCATGCATTCAAAGTAGGTCCATCATATCAGACTATATTTTTTTTTATAATTATGATGCCACAATGTTTGGCTCTATCTGTCATAGGTACTGTACACAAATACATTTTGTATAGTTGACAGCGTTTTTGGGATAAGTAAATTTTGTTTTTCAATAATATTCGAACCCGGAATCTTAAGTATTATATCAAAAAATATGATCAAAATTATCTTGTGAATAAGCGGATTCATTTGATAATCGAATAAAATGCATTACAGTATGCGTATGCTATTTTTCTGATAACATAATGATACCTACGTAAATGAAGTATTAAGTAGATAGTAATAGATAATTTTATTATAATATTCAACCTCATGCATTGTCATAAAATAATCTTTAATAAAAGAAAGGTAATCAACAAGAAACAACTTTATTTCTTAATGTATAACATCACAACCTACAATATTTCTTGTAATAAATGAATCACATTTGAAATATGTACATACTTGTTATTTACACTATTTATATAATTTATCAAGAAGATTTAATAAATTCCAAGAGATATCATAATTTAATCCTTATTAATAATTTTACACACAGATAAGAGTATGTTATTCGAGTCAATTTCCTTTAAAATTATAATTATACTAAAATACACTACACTGTTAATAACAATACACATTTATTTCGCTTAAATTTAAGCGTTTAAGAAATTAGATCATTAGAATAGGAGGATATTTTATATCAAGTAGATAATAGTTAAAAATAAATTGCCTTGCAAATAACCTTTAATGATAAAAATCTGTTTTCGTATAAACAAAATAACATTTACAATAGCAATTTAGTAAATATATACATTTTTTCTCGATAAACTATACATTATCTACACATTATCACAATATTATACTGTTTGAAATGTTCTACAAATTAATCAATTAAACTAATACTTTGTTGAACTAAAGCATGGCGTTTGCGGCTGTAAATTGTAGTGTACGACATAATAAGATTAAATCTACAAAACAATTCCACTGATACGAGTATAGATATAAGCTACTTAATAATCTCTGATTAAATGCAGTACCTAGTAAATACTGCATTAAAATTGAAACACGAAAAAACAAAGTCTATACTAACCGAATGTCGATCAGCTAAAGAAAATGTAACAATACAGAAAGAAAAGAAGCGAAAATTTTAAGCACAAATTTTACACATAAGTACAGATTTTTACAATCATATTATTAACAAATATTTTACGTCATAATATGCAGTCTCAAAGGGACAGTCTATATTCTACCCAATATATTAAGTTCTTTTATAGTCTTTTAAAGAATCTAATGCTGTGATCAATAAAGGATTTGCATCGCATTTAGTTTTAAAATCAAACAGCTAGTATACTGTTTCTAAAAGGGTTCATACCAACGTCAGTGTATACTCTAGCTCTTGGAACGGTCATGGATCTGGGCAAATTGTCGTAATCGATTTCTTGGACGATCACTGGTGACGATCGCCTTCTAGCCGCTAGCTTGCCAAGTTGATAGAACACAAGGCACAATAAGAAAAGAACTGTAGCTGATATAATAGCCACCATGGTAATTGTGAAGGGGTTCCAGAAGCCTGGATTATTTGATGAGCTCTCATCAGTAGGGTCAGCAGTGGTGACATCTTCGGTTGTGTTATCTCCGGCAGTTGACCATGTTTCAGTGACGGTTCCTGTGAAATCTTCGTCAACAGTGTTCGTCCACAGCGGTGTAGTGCTAGAATTACCATCCCCTTCACCGTCAAAGTCAGTCACTGGGGTTGTAGATCCAGTGACACCATCCCCTTCGCCACCATTATCACTGTCAGTTACTCCAGGAGTCGATGGGCCATTTTCAGCATCCTCTTCGCTGTCACTGTCAGTTACTCCAGGGGTCGACGGGCCAATGTCAGCATCCTCTTCGCTGTCACTGTCAGTTACTCCAGGAGTCGATGGGCCATTTTCAGCATCCTCTTCGCTGTCACTGTCAGTTACTCCAGGGGTCGATGGGCCATTTTCAGCATCCTCTTCGCTGTCACTGTCAGTTACTCCAGGGGTCGATGGGCCATTTTCAGCATCCTCTTCGCTGTCACTGTCAGTTACNTAACTTAATCTATCTACATAAGCTACCATTTATCTCTTTACAAAAAAAATCAGTAAAATTACTATAACAAGCAAAAACAATTAAATTACGAACAATATTCATAAATATTTACCTTAAAATTTTGACAAGCATGCGGCTACTCGGACGACTCGTTGTCGAAAGAAAGCTTCTGCTGTTTAGAGTGCCATCTGTTCTTACTCTGACATACTACATTGGACAGCGTATTGCTCAGAGAAAGTATTTGTGTCTCTTTTCCACTCTTAATAACGTACATATGCTTGTTTATTTTTATTTTAGCCAAGGTGGCCAATAACTATGTACAGGCCAATTACTATAGCAATCACCCTACTAGCAATCAAGTGTGAATTTAGATTACGATCTAGAATTTGATATCATTTATTTTGTATTTCTTATCGGCCAATACCTGTTATGTCCTAACCAACCAGTCTCTACAGTAATTTTAATGTCACTTTTGTGTATCAATCCTGGACATTACACCTACAACCTGCTTAATAGGCTCTTACCTACTTTCTATAATATTCCTTTTTACTATTGATTATTATTGTCGTTTTGGTACTATCATTAATTTTCCAGTCAAAACAACTTCTTCCTTTTCTTACTTTCTTCTATGCCTTTTCCCATTCCTATTTTGTGGTCGGTCCTTCTCGATATTTTCCAGCCATAACAACAGAGTATACACAAATGAGTAGGTCATCTTCATAGAAACGCAAGGGCGCGGTTTGTATGTGAGCGCGCCATACAAACCGCGCTCGGTGCGTTTCTATGAAGATGACCTACTCATTTGTATTTACTCTGATACCAACAATTGTAATTAAAGTAGATTGATCGAGCTTACTGACCGAGCAAGGGCTAAGCGTACTGAAGCACCCTTTGTTTCCATTAACCTCATATTGTTTACAATTCCCCATAACAGGCATTTCCCCTTGTCATTAAAACCCATAATTTGCTCGCACAAAACCCTAACAAGCCTCCCTCCATTACCATAGTACAAGTACTTAATAGAAAAAATGCACCCGAGAAGAATAGGGCTAAGGATGTGAAGGTTATCGATATGAATAGAATAAGAATAGAATACCTTTATTCCTTAAAATAAGATCTTTTATTTGTCTGTGGATAGTCAAAGATTTAGCTGTCCAATTAGACTACAAATGTGCTGGCTGACTTATGTATAACAGTCGGACGGTATGTACTTGACACTGCAAATTATTAATTTACAAAAATGTATTTTACTGCTGGTTAAATGCCAGCAATAAAAATCGAAGGTACACCAAGGCTATAGCATATCCCATAACTTAGACAATAAATTGATTGTATTTACACGCATTCCTCGTAAATATCAGCTAAGTAAATTGAAATTTGAATCAATGCATTGATTTCAAAATCTAATCAACTCACATCTGAATATTATGCATTTAATGATTATTTCAGGAAATATACGAATGCAATTGCAATTACACACCTGCCTATTAGCTATAATACATACATGGTTTTCCCGACTGCGCCAAAAGAAGGGTTGTGTTTTTACTGTCTTGGCATTATATGAATAGATTAATAGATTTTGCCATCGTGTGTATTTTAGTCTAGGAAAAACCGAACTCACCAAAAATTTATCATTATTTGTTCCCGTACTATGTAAGTGCTTCAGATTTTAGTAAAAACGTCGACATTGATGTTTATCGATATTTCCATCACCTCACATTACATCACTACACCAGCTCACTTAATTAGTTCTGGCTAGAGGAAACGCGTTCATTTCCATTGCATTGTCCCGGCGTTCCCGTGATTTTTGCCGCTGCCAACCGGGACAAAGCATTCGCGGAACGGATAAGTTGATGTAAAACGCTGTGCATAGCGAACAACACTATGTGGGTGCGGATATTATGTTTTTTTTATTTTAGGCTAAGTAGCTGTCTCTACGAGCTAGAGCAGAAAAGTTCTCGAGTGGCTACCACGGGCTGGAAGACGTAGCGTGGGCAGGCCCCCTACTAGGTGGACCGACGATCTGGTAAAGGTCGCGGGAAGAGCCTGGATGCGGGCAGCACAGGACCGTGAATTGTGGAAAATCTTGGAGGAGGCCTTTGTCCAGCAGTGGACGTCATTTGGCTGAAACGAACGAACGAAGTAGCTGTGCCGACGACTTCGTTCGCGTGAAAATACGAGTAGTTTAATTAATATTTCCCGTTTTTTGCAATATTTTTCTTTACTGCTCCGCCCCTATTGGCTGTAGGGTGATGCTTTTCTTGTTAAATGGGCTATCCAACACCGAAAGAATTTTTCAAATCGTACTAAGTATGTAGTGTTCTTGAGATTAGCGCGTTCAAGCAAATTAACAAATATAAACTCTTCAGCTTTATAATATTAGTATAGATTAATTACATATTCGCCATCTTATAATTAGACAAGATGTGCTCGCGACTTCGTACGCGTGAAAACCCGTTTTCGCAACATTTTTCATTTTTGCTCTGCACTTATTACTCGCAGCGTGATGGTATATAGCCTATAGCCTTCCTCAATAAATGGGCTATCTAACACTGAAAGAATTTATCAAATCGGACCGGTATAGTTCCTGAGATTAGCGCGTTCCAGTAAACAAACAAACAAACTCTTCAGCTTTATAATATTAGTATAGATTAATTACATATTCTGCAGGGGAGACTAATGGCTAATGACATGATGATGATGATAATGACGACTCACTATTTGAACCTTTTGCAGGTTAAGTAAGATTTTAAAGCGCTTTGAGTAATATGATTCCTTTAGAAAGCATCAAAAAATCCTATAATTTCATATCTAGGCACAATAATGTGAACTGAGACACATCGAAACAACCGATTCAAAGCCAACATAAAATGATTTATTGTTCAACATATTTTTAAGACCGATTAAACAGTATGATAAGTATCGGAATTTCATAAAAAAAGCAAAGTATTGAAAAGTAATCGAAAATGGATAATTAGTAGGTACGAATAGACTAAAAATAATTACCTTTAGCATCAAACTTTCAAATTCAGACGCATTTAATACCTACGTCACAGATTTACTAATCGTAGGTTACCTACGTACTTATTTAGAATTAAAAAATAATCAAGTAAAATCTTTATATTTGTAATCAGGCACGACTGTGCGGCTACTCACTGATTGCGAAGGAATTTGCGATAAAATTCCATCGAAAAAACAAGGACGGAGTCACGGGCGAACATTAGTGAAGATGTAAAGGTCGTTGCTTATCACCGATGATGAAGTATTTACTTTCTGGAACTTCTATTAATTATTTAGATCTCCAGATGTCTGCAATCTATCGACGTCATGTTATTAAAATGATAATAACTTTTAATTTGTTAAAACTTTTCATGCTTGACATGTTATTATGATTACTCACTATGGTGAAATACCTTTACCTAAACCTAGGCTACTTTCTCGTATTTTGATTCTATACTTACATAAGTACCTATACAATATTACCGACGCGACTATACAAATACTTTGTAAATTATTCAAATGAGTTTTAGGGCTGATTTTTCAATCGTCAGATATCTTTCAACTGAAGAATAAGCTTGTCATTTTGACATATTTCCCATACTGAAACTGTCAATGTGCCAAACTTATTCTTCAGTTAAAAGTTATCCGACGATTGAAAAATCAGCCCTTAGACTAAAAGAGATCTCTACTTTACCTTACAGCTTCAGCTTAGTCGACTGACAGTAGGTAGGTACAGTCAGCGTCAAATAGTTCGTGACACCCAAAGTAGCCAAAAAGTTGACAACGCAACCTTATTCAAATGAGGGCTATCGTTTTAGCGCTCACCAGTTAGCGCCACTGTAGAGTAAGGTCCTGTCACTTGCTAGTAGCGAAGACAGTGGCGCCAACTTGTGAGCGCTAAAGTGGTAGGAGGACTATCGCATTTGCACTCATCAAGATGGCGCCACTGTAGAGTAAGGTCCTGTCAATCGCCAGGGGTGCCAACTGTTAAGTATAAAAACGATAGCCCTCATTGTAACAAAGACGTGTTGCGAATTTTTGGCTACTTTGAGTGTTACGAACTATTTGACCCTGACTTTACATGAATCTATTGCATGAATTTTAGGCTTATTTTTTAAATTATCAGGTCCTAAATCAATTTAGGTCATTGTGTTGTAAGATAACATGCTATTAATTGTACTTACGTAGGTAATATCATTATCTTTGGCAATAATAGTTTCCGATACTTCTTCCTTGACCAAATTACAATAACATTACGACAAGAAGTGTTTGCCAATTATATAATAAACAATTAATATCTTAGTTAGCATTTTAATTACAAACGCGTAAGCTAGTGATTAATATTCTGTAATAATTATATTTTTTGTAAACGAATGATTTTTCCACATTACGCTTTACACTTCAGGATTATTTAGCTGTTTCCCATGGAAAGCTGGAAATTTTGGCTTGTGATATGCTTGATCCCCTTCCAAAAACCGGGATAAAAACTATTCTGCCTTTACCCTGAGTCTCATCATCATCATTTCAGCTATAGGTCGTCCACTGCTGAACATAGGCCTCCCCCAATGATTTCCATAATGACTATTGGTAACGGCCTGCGTCCATGCGCCTTCTTGCTACCTTAATGAGGTCGTCGGTCCACCTAGTGGGTGGGTCTCTTCAAACTCTACCTAATTTCAACTAAATCGCTTTAGTGGTTTACAAAACAATGGTAGTTATTAATTAGTGATTTTATGCAACCTTCAATTAGATCGTTACCGAATGAAGAACAAGCTTTTTGTCTCTGATCAGTGTCATGGAACACTGAGGATGCGTCCAGTCATATTTTTTACATGTCACAGTGACAGCACGTAGAAGAATTACGACTTAACCTCTGATTATCACATTTTGCTGAAGATATTTTTTTTGTAGTTGAAGAAAATGAAGTTCTGGCTGTATTGAAAAATACTCGTGTACAACTGACGGTAAACTTTATTAAATACGAGTAAGTAATACATTTTCATCTTTTCTGTACAGTATTGTTAACAATTTTACATAAAATATACTTTTATACAAAATTACCCCAATTTATATGAGACATTAGTGATAATGTGGTAAATCTCCCATCATTATAGGCTAGTCACACATGATTCTGATTCATTTACGAGTGACTGATATTAGATACAAAATATCGTGTACATAACGTCTGTATTAAATTATTAACTTTAAAACATTTTTGTACTAGCATTTCGATAAATTGAATACAGTGTGAATTCTAAATAAGGAAACTTAAGGGACTGATTATTTAATGACATTAAAGAGAGTGGACGTTTAATGAAGTGACAGAGTAGAGCCATGGAAAATAAAGTAAACCAACAAAGTAACCCGACGTTATAATGGAGTTTGTCGTTAAGTCGAGAGACGTTATAAATAAAGAGTTTACACACACACAACACCGTATAAAAATATTTATTATTTGTATATTACATCACATGATTAAAATAAAATTGTATTAGCAGTAGCTTATTATAAATTGCACTATAATTACCTAGTCTGGTCATAAGTTCTGTCACATGATCATAACTTTTGAATTTTGAATGAAGGTCTCAAAAATATTTATTGAATTAGAATTTAGAATATTTAACAAAATTAAAAATGTGCATTGTTTTGAATTTTATTTGTTTTTAAATATGTAGTGGACGCACAAAGAAGACCGAACAGTAGTTGTCACGCAGCATTGGTGCGGTTACGCGCGAAAGCAGATTTTCGATGTGCTGAAAAAATTGAATTAAATATTAATTTTACGTTTATCGTTTCATCAAACGATATAATGAAGATTTAAGTGTAGAAGACACAAAACAAAAGTAATTGTTCTTGCACGGTTAGGACTCCAGCAGCGTTAAAAGCTGCGAAGGCGCGAACTCAAAAAAATCCCATGCGTTAGCAGACTTTGCCTGCCCTGGAGGTAGGCTTAAGCAGAACCAGGGTGAAATTGGTATTGATGAAGACTAAAGGCTTCAAACTATTTGAATAAAAATCAAAAATTACTTGGATGCGCGTTTAAAAGACTTGAGATTGAAGAAATCCCACGTTTTGCTTAAGCGGTACGCGGGAAAAAGTACCTTGAATAACATTTTTCAAATGTTGTTATTTACCATGGAGGAGAGTTACAAAAAAAACAAAATGGTAAGTTGGATGCGTACATCAATGAAGAAGCACCGGCTTAATTTAGGCTGTCCAGCTAGGCCAGCTTTTATCGTCACTCAAGGTTTGGTAACATGTCTCAAATTTGGGCTTTTTTGAGGTATTTTTTGCATGAAAGGCATAAAAACGAATGCCATTCTGTATCAAAATTCAGTTCTCACAAAGCTTATAGAACCTTTTTCACATATCATGCCCAATAACAGACACTGGGAGTTCCAGCAGGATTCTGAGCCAGCTCATAGAGCGAAAAGCGCGCTAAACCCGCTCGTAGGGCGTAAAATTGACCTCAGCCGGCACGAAGTCTGGCCATCATCCAGTCCAGACTCTAATACGTTGGATTACAAAATATGGCAACATTTGGAGAGGAAGGCCTGCTCTATGTCTCATACTGATTTGGAGTCCCTCAAGGCATCCTGTATTAAACCAGCCGCCGATATTGATACGAAACTCGCTCGTGTTTCTAGAGACCACTGACCGCGCAGTTTGAACCCTTGTATTCATAATTGCGAGAAAAATTTGAAATAATTTTTATAAGCATAAAATCTTTGTTTGAATACCTTTCTATTGGTATATAAATGATTACCGTAAAAACAAGTATCAATTATTTCACTATAAACATGTGACAGAACTTATGACCCGACTAAGTATTATTAAGACATCTCTTTTATTAGGAACATTATAAAAATTCTTAGGTCATTTTATGCTATGATTCAATCTATTCTTTCTATTCAATCGAGTTTTATGAATATTTTTAATAAATAAAGTCACCATTTATAGCTATGATAGCAATAAATAGAGTTGCTTGCGCTGCTTCTTCTCAGCATGTGCCATTATTTGTCTCTAAGCATTGATAGGGTAATAAAATAATACTGGGTCGTGTGACAGCGCTTTTTAAAAGGCTTACGAGTTTTATGAGTTAACAATTTGTATAGTTATTGAATTTTCAGCGTGCCTAAGGCGGGAATTGAACCCACGACCTTTCGCTTGCCAGGCGACTGCTCTTCCAACTGAACTACTTAGACACTGGACGAACCCGTCGATTTGTATTTAATCAGAATCAGTTCTAAACGATCCTTCAGATGCATACGCATTCCTCACTCGAGGTATAATCCTTGTCGGAGGAGGTTCGACATCCGTGGAGTCTATTATGATTGGTTTAGCTCTCCTTTTTCCAATATAATAAGCGCTGATCACGGACACACCAAGAACTACAAATAAGCCCACTGACACTAAAGTTATCGTGAAAATGTTCCAAAAGCCGTCTCCTGATTCGTTATTCGATGGAGCGTCTTCATTTGTTATTGTGTCCGCCATTTTGTTATTATGAGACTGATATTGTTGTTATTTATTCATTGTACGATGCTCTTCTGTTTTTCTGCAACTGCTAAAGTTGCGTCGTCTTTGCTTTCTTGTAGGTGGGACCTAAAACAAAAAAGACATGAGGATTTTAGAGTGGCAATTCTCAAAAGTTAAGAAAAATATCAATCAAATTCTGGTAGCGGAATGACCTTTATTGTAACTGATAATATACACATAAATTAACTTTTGGTAGCCATTTGTTTTTATTAAAATAATTTGTTTTGATAAAATAATTATTTATTTAAACCTAATCATGATTAGGGTACTTCTCATTTACACTCAAATTTGATGGTCACACAATAATAGTTCATAAACGGTATAAGTTAGAACAATAACTTTGAAATCAGATGATAAAATATCTATTTAGCTACATACAAAATAAATTTTATCGTAATAGAAGCAAAAATAATACGAAAAAATCACATGAAACGATAAAAAACGGGGTCATTTTTCGCGTTCTCATCGTGTCACACCTTCGGTTGCAATGAAACATTTGGTTACTGCATTCACAATTTTCATTCAATTTGTGTGTAGCATATACTAAAATCATCGTAATTAAATATACTTTCCACACAATAGTCAAAAAAATATCTTCTTATAATTATTTTGAATTGAGAAAGCGAAATACGTTGGTCACACGATTTTAGGTACCTAAAATTTTGAGTAATAATACAAGATTGCCGTTAAACCGAACACCAGCAACCAATCACAGCGTTCTATTCGGTTAACGTCAGTCGCGCTTCGACCATTGGGGAGGTGAGATAGGTCGATCGTCGCTCCGCGAAAAAAATACGTAACTTTTTGTGATTATCCATAGACATACCGTCGCTTGCTTGAACAATATTTTCTACCTCTAAAATTTAAACAATTTAATTGAAACTTTGCCATTGAAAACTTAACATGTTAGACTTATTTGTGTAGTATTCAACTTGAACCGTTAAATTCAAATTTAAGGATAATTCATAAAAAACTAAAATTTTCGTCACCTTCGTGGCATCACCTTCGTGGTGTTTTATACACGAAGGTGATTTTAGGCCACGAAAGTGATTTCTTGCTTTGGTTTATTTTAAAATATAGTGACTGGTGTTTATGTTTTTACAATATTTTAATAACTAATAAATTATACGTGGTAAGTAGAGATCAGTACATCAATAAATAAATAAGGGCCTCGTATTTTTGTTGTCTGTCTGTCTGTGTGACTGTATGTATGTCTGTATATGTGACTGTGTGTGTATCTGTTTGTAAGATAAATTTAATCTGAAGTTTGAGTTAAAAGTTGTACAACAAAAATACGAGGCCCTCTGGCCTAAATAAAAAATATATTTTTGTTGAGGGACTGATAATCAGTTAGAGTTCTTTTTTATTGAGGTACTGATAATCCGTTTTTTGCTTCTTTAGCATTTCAGAATGCCACCAGTGTCACCCTTAAAACCAATTGCGTAGAATCTTGTAACTTAGTAGGTGACGTAATCGGTAAAATTTTATCTTGTATTTAAGTAGGTACCTATTTATATTATGTTATTACTATTTATCTATGAAAATAAGACAAAATATATGTTTTATAAACACTTAAGAGTCATTTACAGTAGTAAAGTTTGAAAAAATTATTGCTGTGAAGTACAGAATCACTTTCGTGGCATCAAAAAATTCAAAACGTTAAAGCTTCCAAACGAGACTCACTATTTGACTGATTTACTGAGAATACAATCTTCACATCAAGCGCTACAATTTTTGTTTACAAAATGTTGAAATAAGTTAGAAATAAAATTCGCCACGAAGGTGACGATGAGAACCGTGGCGATGAGAAATAGCCATTAATGGGTTCCCATCATAAAAAGCCCATGTCTGTTATTACATACTATAGCATCTAACTTTTACATTGACAAGGCATATTCAACAAAAACTGTACAAGCTTATCATATTAAATCTAATAGGTAATCACCTATTGGCAATAAAGACCTACTAAAAGATTTTCTTCAAGCAGAAGGTGACATAAAAGTAAGTATGTAGATAATTAATGAATCAGAAAGTTGTACACCTTATGTAAACTGACGTCATCATTCAAGATGGTTCTGATAAGATTCTGATAACACGAGAACTTTGCAATTAAAAGAACAAAGCACATGTACGGCTGCACATCAGACTATAGATTTTTATTGAAAAATAGCCCGTATTACAACGAAATAAGATGGCACAGTATTTAGCTTGATGTGCTGTCGTCTGTAGGTACATATGACGACACGTCAAGGTACACTGTGATACTACGTAGTGGTAATAAGGTAGATATTTTGCACCAAAATTTATTAGTTTAAAGTATTGTTGACTGTATAGAGGTTTCAAAGCTATTGGATTTCGTGTTTCATTTCAAACTTAGTAATTGGCGAGTTACTCTAAACCATATTTTTCTAAAAAGACATGTGGATTTCATACCCATTTCATTTCTATCTGAATCGAAAGTCTGAGGCTGAGTTGCACCACCTTTTTTAACCGTAACAATAAGAATAACCGGTGTTTATTGTATAGAGTGTAATAGATTTTTGACGTTTGTCAAAGTTACAGTAAGATGGTGCTACTCAGCCTAAATGATGCAGTTTACACACCAATCCCACCGATCGCCGACATGAGCAGTCGACTTTTGACAAGTTGTGAAAAGTCATATAAAGTACAAGTCATCGACATGATGTTTCTTTTGAAATAAATCTTCTGATACCAAGCCACCGGGACTTGGTGTATAGAGTCCTTAAGTAGGTAAAAAAGTACATTAAGATGCTTACCAAAAAGGGGTTTCCAATCAATCCAAATAAGTTTTCACAGCTCCAGTGGCGTTTGCCAATCACAACTTCTAATGTCACTTTCAAATTATAATCATTACAGAAATCACGTATTGCTAGAGTTCTGGAAATTATATCTTTTGCGTCACACTGTTATCAGTCCGTTATAAAAAATACCACGAAATTAATAATCTGGATCGCTGTTCAGCAATAAAAATTTCCACTTTTCCCTAATAATCCGTGTAATTTACAATGAAACTGCCGAAAAAACACGATTTTTCTTTACATAAAACAAACGACGATCCAAAATGGCCGTCCTTACATTACATTTCGTTGCCGTAGACTTGATAAAGTACTAAATTGTTAAGCTAATCGCGATTTTTATCTTTCTAATCTTTAATATCTGTACAGTAATATCGAAGAGCAATAAATTAATGAGTGCATGGTTGTTTGATGAAACCATGAAAATACAGAAACGCATAAAATGTGTTGTAAGTAATAAATAAAAAAACTAGTAGGTAGACAGTTTTTATTGATTATAGCATTCTATAATTGAGGAATAATAAAATACCTATATTATTCTCTACTTAAATGTCGACTGATATATGCCTGTTACGTGCTACGAGTTACATAGTAGTAGGTATTTTCTAGACTCTACATTGAAATAAATTCATCATTGGTTCAATAGAGTAGTGATATTCGTATCATAGGTGATGCTGTAGTTTAGTTAATTTTTGGGGTCAAATCCCGTAGAAAACAAATTCTAGTATGATCACTCATTTCATGAATCATGTCGTGCACTTCTGGATGTAAGCCCCGAAAAATGACATAAAAAATGATCTTTTTCTTTATCTTCATACGAAGTCATACTTAAGCTGTTTTCAGTTTTGGCAGGTAATTTATGTACAAATTCTTTATTAGTATGGTAGGCCTCTTTTCTAAGTACTTTAATACGTCCCATCAAGCATAGCTTATGATTGTTCTCTAGTCTCTACATTGAATTATTTTATTTGTTTCTTTGTTGAAAGCGAGTTGTATTCGCCGATTGACCTCTTTCTCAAAACTGGACCTACCTAGATGAATCATTTCATTTGTCCAAGGTAGATATACTTATAAACAATTTCGAAAATCTAGCTCAGGCAGGCCACATCAACCGGTCAGTATGGAAATCATTAGGGGAGGCCTATGCTGATGATAACTCTAGACTTTTGATTGAATTATTCAAATTCACTTTCTTTCTTTCTTTAAAGATGACTGTCTATAACTAAGACCATCTAATGGAAATCATTATGCATTTTTATTTGTCTAGCGGCCGTGGTATACCAATGGTATAAGCGTATTATTTGCCTTGTCTTAGTCGGATATCTTTAGTCCTTCAGTAATTTCCAAGGATTCAAAGTACAAGATAAATTCGATATCATACCAGACTTTTTTGCAAAATTATGATGCCACAATATTTGGCTCTATGCTGTCATAGGTACTGTACACAAATAAATTTTGTTTTTCAATAAGACCCGGAATCTTAAGTGTTATATCAAAAAATATAATCAAAATTATCTTGTGAATAAGCGGATTCATTTGATAATCGAATAAAATGCATTACAGTATGCGTATGCTATTTTTCTGATAACATAATGATACCTACGTAAATTAAGTATGAAGTGATAATAATCGATAATTTTATTTTATTATAATATTGAACCTCATGCATCATCAAAACAACTAATCTTTAATAAAAGAAAGGTGATCAACAAGAAACAACTTTATTTCTTAATGTATAACATCACAACCTACAATATTTCTTTGCTCTAATAAATGAATCACATTTCAATTATGTACATACTTGTTATTTACACTATGTATATAATTTATCAAGAAGATTTAATAAATTCCAAGAGATATCATAATTTAATCCTTATTAATAATTTTACACACAGATAAGAGTATGTTATTCGAGTCAATTTCCTTTAAAATTATAATTATACTAAAATACACTACATTGTTAAACACAAATACATTTATTTCGCTTAAAATTTAAGCGTTTAAGAAATTAGATCATTAGAATAGGAGGATATTTTATATTAAGTAGATAATAGTTAAAAATAACTTGCCTTGCAAATAACCTTTAATGATAAAAATCTGTTTTCGTATAAACAAAATTACATAATACCACCAGTAGGTTAGTTTAAATTAAAGCAATTTAGTAAATAAATACATTTTTTCTCGATCAACTATAAATACCTACACAACACATTATCACAATATTATATGTTTGAAATATATTAATCAATTAGACTAATACTTTGTTGAACTAAAGCATGGCGTTTGCGGCTGTAAATTGCAGTGTACGACTTAATAAGATTAAATCTACAAAACAATTCCACTGATATACATAGCTACATAAGCTACTTAATAATCTCTGATTACCTAGTAGTTAATTAAAATTGAAACATGAAAAAACAAAGTCTATACTGACCGAATGTCGATCAGCTAAAGAAAATGTAACAATACAGAAAGAAAAGAAGCGATAATTTTAAGCACGAATTTTACACTTAGGGACTTTTAACAACAATATTATTAACAAATATTTTACATCATAATATGCAGTCTCAAATGGACAGTCTATTCTACCCAATATATTAAGTTCTTTTAAATAGTCTTTTAAAGAATCTAATGCTGTGATCAATGAAGGATTTGCATCGCATTCGTTTTAAAATCAAACAGCTAGTATACTGTTTCTAAAAGGGTTCATACCAACGTCGGTGTACACTCTAGCTCTTGGAACAGTCATGGATCTGGGCAAATTGTCGTAATCGATTTCTTGGACGATCACTGGTGGCGATCGCCTTCTAGCCGCTAGTTTGCCAAGTTGATAGAACACAAGGCACAATAAGAAAAGAACTGTAGCTGACATAACGGCCACCATGGTAATTGTGAAGGGGTTCCAAAAGCCTGGATTATTTGATGAGCTCTCATCAGTAGGGTCAGCAGTGGTGACATCTTCGGTTGTGTTATCTCCGGTAGTCGACCATGTTTCAGTGACGGTCCCTGTGAAATCTTCGTCAACAGTGTTCGTCCACAGCGGTGTAGTGCTAGAATTACCATTCCCTTCACCGTCAAAGTCAGTCACTGGGGTTGTAGATCTAATGTCACCATCCTCTTCGCCATCACTGTCACCATCCCCTTCGCCGTCGACGTCAGTCACTGGGGTTATAGATCCAGTGACGCCATCCTCTTCACCATCATTATCACCGTCAGTCACTCCAGGGGTCGATGGGCCATTTTCAGCATCCTCTTCGCTGTCACTGTCAGTCACTCCAGGGGTCGATGGGCCATTTTCAGCGTGGTAATAAACTGGCGATGGCTTCGATGCGGTGACGAACCGACCGTCTTCAAGATAGCGGAACACGGAACGAAGAGAAGATGGACGTGACATATTTTTATGCCATATTGTATGCTGAGGAGAACCAAAGTGACTGACTTCGCCCGCAGAATCGCTAAAATCAAGTGGCAGTGGGCGGGGCACATAGCTCATAGAGCTGATGGCCGCTGGGGCAGGAAAGTTCTTGAGTGTTGACCACGAGCCGTAGAAGGAGCGTGGGCAAGCCTCCTACTAGGAGGACCGACGATCTGGTGAAGGTCGCGGGTGGTGCCTGGATACGAGCGGCGCAGGACCGGTCTTTGTGGAAATCCTTGGGGGAGGCCTTTGTCCAGCAGTGGACGTCTTTCGGCTGAAACGATTGTATGCGGGCGACAATCCCGTAGCCTTTCCCCTTGAACCCCTCACCTACCGATAACATTCGAGTTGTTACAACCGTATTCAGTCTACCCTACACTAGCGTATCACCCCCGCTTCGCAGGAGTAGCAACAAAAACTAAAAAACAAAAATAAGAATTAAAAAAAATAAAACAAAAAATCAACATTCAAAATGTATAGCACCTAACTGATGAATTTCAATTGCACTAATTACCAAAACAATTCATTTTCCATGCCCACAGGACCGGTTGTGGAAATCCTTGGGGGATGTCTTCATCCAGCAGTGGAAGTCATTGGCTGAAACGAACGAACAATTCATTTTCACTTTCTTAAGGCAATCAATCGTGATTGCACGGTGTTTTCCTTAATTTCCTTAATAAACTAGCACCTCCACTCTTCATCCTTCGGGAACTACAAATGGCAGTCCACGTTGGTCTCTAGGTATTAATCAACAGGAATCGTTCATGTCTCGCGTACTAACAATGTAATCCTGTTGCCAAAATATCTCAGGAATTGGAGCAGGATTGACGGATCATGCAAGTATTTGGAATAAGTTTGGGGAAATTCATCATCATGATAATTATCATCATTAATTTCAGCCACAGGACGTTCCACTGCTGAACATAGGTCTCCCCCAATGACTTCCACATCGCACGGTTGGTAGCGCCTTCCTGGTACCTTTATCAGGTCGTCGGTCCACCTTTTGGGTGGACTTGGGGAAATTCATGTAAATTTACTGTTGCATACCATAAAGGCTAAATTTAGCTGATCAATTTAATTATTTAAGACCGTATTAGGAACCTACTTTTTGTAATAAAAATCTTGTTGCCAGGACATGTCTCAAGCTATCCTAGTGAGATTGACGGTCTTGAAGCAATTGGAACGTAAATAAGCTTTGGTCAGACAGAACAGCAGCAAAAAAATACAATTTTATTTAAGTAATCTTATATACTCGTATATATAAAAGAAAGTCGTGTTAGTTACTCCACTTATAACTCAAGAATGGCTGAACCGATTTAGCTGAAAATTGTCAGGGAGGTAGTTTAGAGTCAGGAGAAGGACATAGGATACTTTTTATCCCGTTCGAAATTTAAAAAAAGTCTGCTTATTTATTGCCTTTAAGGCGGAACAAAGTTCGCCGGGTCAGCTAGTCTAAAATAAATGAAAATAAGTCGTATCTTGAAAGTTCTAAAAGAAAAGCCAACGAGTACATCACCAATCTAAATTGGATCTATTACAAACAGAGTGATCGGCGAACGTCAGCGAACAAATGCGAGCAATATTATGCTATGCGAGCAGTCACTTAGCGCATCATCTACCTAGAAACCCCTATAGTCTGAAGGAAAATAAAAATAAAAATACCTCGTCCAGGGTGGATATCGTGGGCTGTCGCCAGGACATGTCTCAACCTGCCCCAGTGAGATTGACGGTCAAAAAGCAATCGCTAATAAGTGAGATTGCGACCAGGTGCGATTGCGGTCAAATACCTACCTAAATAAATAAATAAATAATTAAAAAAATATCTAAAATAAATGAATATAAATAAATCTGTATCTTGACAATCTTAACGATAGAC